ATTCCATTTCTGACAAGACACTTTTCCTGTTTTGCTGTTCGAAAATAACAATGACGGCATTATTTTTGTCTTGATGCACCACTCCAATGGGGAAAAAAAATATATGATTTGGCTCACATGTTCAATAATTTGCTTTTATTGATAAAATCACATTATTTTACGGAGGGAATTTCTCAATTTATAAGAATTCAACTGGTCGATAAAAGGAAATGTAATATCATACAAGTGCCAAAATTCAAATTTAAAAGATCTATAATGTTGAGTTTGTAAAAGTCTGGGCAATTAAAAAAAAAAAGTCATTCACGACCATTATCCGAATGACTTGCCAGTTAATTTGCCACACATCATTTTGTAGTCTGATAAAAGTGCTGGTATAGCAACATCTATGCTTCTCTTTGGAGAGACTGCGACATGCACAAGGTCATGGATGTCACCTTTTATTATTCATTGTTGGTTGCATTCTATCCCGTTTACATTTACAGGGCGAATACTAGCGTTGCTCTCCAGAAAAGCCTCTATTTGTCTTTGTGTTATTATCCTGATGGCAGTTGCCGAAATGACTTGACTTCCCAAACGCAGCGCCAGATGTGAATCCCCTCACAATGATCAAATTGATAATTACACAAGTTTTCCTTTTCCAAAGGCACATAATTGGAGGACTGGGGAATCTCACTTTGGAGAGGTCCAGGCCTTGACCCTCATTACAGCACTCCTAACTCAGTGCAGATAGAAGATGAATACGGCAAAACTTGCACTCAGAAGGTGACCTTTAATTAGCTAATGAATGCGGAAACTCCCGCTTCCCACCTCTGACCTCTTATCAAAGCCTAATAAGCCTGCGCATGGTGAAACATGTCACAAGCGCTTGCGATTGATCCCCAGCAGACTCCAAGCCTCTCGTTTCATGAGATAAATGTTGCAGTCCGCATTCATAAATCACTCCCGCAGACTCGCGAGAGATTTTTTTTTTTTTTTAATGTATCGATTCACTGCATTTTTCAACGAAGGTGACTAATTCAGGATTGATGTTGTTTATTATGCACACCGCGGGTGACATTTTCTAATTTATACCAAAATACTAAGGAGAGAGAGAGAATGAATGAGTATCGGTGCAAAAAAAGGGTCATTTATTTCAAGGTTTGTAGTTGCAGCCATTAGCCATGTAAGTGCCAATTTAATATTGGTTCATTTTTGTGGTATATTCCATACGCTGTGAAATGTTGATATTGTTGAATTGGCATATTTCATACAAAGATGTAATATGTTGGAATATTTCTTTGGAACTATTTGTTGGAACATCATGTGATCGGTCGGCGTCAGTGCGTCGTTAAGTAAGCGTGAGCTGGACTGGAGTGAGAGAGAATTCATGCCTTTGTCACATCCCGGCTGGATTACTGTCATGCACTTTACTTTGGAGTCAGCCAATCCTCCATCAAGTGTCTTCAGTTGGTCCCAAATGCTGCTGCTCGCCTCTTGACAGGTTTTTTTTTTGTGTTTGGTTTTTGTTTGGCGGTGCGCCGAGGCTCAATGAAGTTGAGAAAATGTTGCCAAAAAACTCAAGAAATACGGTGCCATCTATCTTCACACAAAAAAAGTACAATTACAACAATTATATAATAAATTGACTAGTAAGTTAGAAAATTGTGCAAATTATTCACACTGTCATTTCCTCCTCTCTATAGACAATATAATACAGACAGACCTCGGTTTGCGAAGGAGTCCCGTTGTTATGGCGGTGATCCAACACAAATTTGACGGTAAGTCGGAATCACTAACCTACGCTGATGCAGTGATGAAATCCAAATTACAGTGGATCATGGTATGAAAAACAGTTGTAGGCCCGAAATATAAAACAGTGGTTATGGCAGTCACTGAGAATATGCCACGGCGAAAGTCAGAACCAAGGACACCCATTTATTGTTGAACTGCCCTGCCGGTGTGATCCACATAGTTTGTGTAAATCCCCCGCATCAGAAATCCAATTCTGATCAAAGTCCGCAGAGCCACAACGGACCTTTTGCAAACCAATTTGAACTTGTACCATTGGCAGCCGACTGAGGACAATCTGAAACGATGCCATCATCTCCCCCGTGGCTTCCGTCAAGATCACACCAGACAGCGTCAAGCTTACACTGTGGGTGCTGATTTCAGATGCGGAGACTCGACAGTCCCGCTGAAGGTCTCTCACCGTGGCCAAGCTTGCGATGAGAAGCTTTCGTGACGCTCCCACCGGGGCCCGCGCTGAAAATGCGGTCTGACTGAGCGAGCAGCTCAATAAATTAGTCAGAAGAAGTTCAGGGTGGGCTGCATTCTTCCCCCCTCCGGTTATCGGCAGAAAACAAGCTGCCTTTAGGCTTGCTGCTCCTAAATCTTTTATCATTGCTGAGGCAGGCTGATCCTGGCATGGACTCGGGCCATCAATCACAGCCGATCCTCACAGCTAATGGCTTATTCAAGATTTCTTGGGTAGCCTAAATCAAGCTTGAAAAGTAGCATTTGCAGTAATTGGGCCAAGTTGTGCGGGAAAAGGCTAATCTTATTTATTTCTAATTTTGTATAATCCTATACAGTCTTTAGGTCTAGTTGCGCAATTCATCGAATAAGGAAGGCAGTACAGCATCCTTGATTTTAAGAGGACAGTATCTGGTGCATTTTGAACAGTTTTCATACAGATTTGCTTTGACTGCATTTCTATTTTTGGAAACGTAAATCCACTTCATGAGTCTTCCACTCTCGAGAGCCTTCAGGTGCGAATCGCATTGATGGGCCATGTAACTCCACACTTGCATGTGGGTGATCTTTCGGTGAACTCGCGTTGAAAATCCTTGAATGTTGCATTATCGGTACTATTAGACTGTTGGAGGTACTGGATTTGAATAATCAATGCCAAAACGCCTAGTTTTCAAGCTTCTGTATTTTTCCGAGGATTGTCACCAAATTGCAGATGCAAACTGCAGTTTTAGCATTTTTGGGGAAACGATGAAGATCAGAGTGAAGATTTTTCATTTTCATTTGATTTATTTCTAAAATATTTATATTTTATGTAAAATATTTTATATAAAAATATTTATAAATAATATTTATTTCATTTCATTTTCGTTGAATTTAATCTCTTTCCAGCATGTGTGTGTAGATAGTGGGAGGCGGTTGGTGCCTTTCGGATGTGGGCCTTTGCTTAGCATAATGCCAATAGTTGTACGAATAACAATAATTAAAAAGAATACTGGCCATATTCCACTTTACCGGGACCAACCGAGCCGGAAGTCCTTCATGTCATGATCTCAGCCCCAAGACAATTGTACCTGTCATCAGAGTTGTCGGAGCTGTTTTGTGGCAAGTTGAAGCAATGGGGCGACGCCATAAAAGGCACGAGAGCGAGTGGAGTGGATGAAAAACGAGCTATTCGTACTCAGGCACTTGAGGAAGGAGGTTGTCAAGTGGGGACACTGATCCAAGGTGGCTCGTCATCCCGGAGGTAGTCGTATGCAATTCTTTATCACCAAAGATTCTGGTTGGCTGCTGTTAACAAGGACATCTGGGAATTCATGTCCGCCTGTTCCGTCTTCACCAGGAAGACATTTTCTCATTCAATGATTTTCTGTGTGTATTTCATAACCCATCTCGCCTTTGGTCTCTCATAGCTTTGGACTTTGTTACCGGTCTTCCGTTTTCACAGGGCAACTCGGTCATCCTCAGTGTGCTGGACTGATTCTCTGGAGTGGTTTATTGTATTCTCGTTTAAAACCAAAAATCTGCTGATAAGGCGGGTGGGTGTTTCATATCCGGGGCATTGCTTCCAATTTGACCTTTTGTCATTGTTGTGTCTCGCACTCGTGTGCTGTTGGGAAAATTAAAAGGCTGAATTTCAACCATTATTTATTAGTCTCCCTTTTCGTTGCGTACCCAGGACTTGAATGTCATCCTTGACTGTTACTCACAGTTTATTATTGTAATGGTTTGGATTATTGCGTTGTTTCCATTTAAACGGTCAACAAAATGTAGCTAAAAAAAAAAAAAATTAAAAGCAAATGAGTGATGCACTCCATTGCTGCTATATTTCTTTGCCGTGTTGAACTCACGGGAAGCCAAAGGCTGTCAGGGTGAGGAATGTTGCCACACGGCTTTGGATGCAGTCTTCTCTGGTTTTGACAGTCAGGGGAATTCCGTGAGGATTTACGGGAAGTAAGAGACAAACACCAGGTCGGAATTGATACATTGGTCACATGTGGAGTGAAAGCTCCCGAGTCAAACACCCCAAGAAAGGTCCCGTTCAAATAAACTTGTGTGCAAAAGTATGCCTTGACGGTCAAACAAGATTTGAACTCCAAACCATCATCCTGGTTATGACCACAGAATGGGTACCACTTATGATAAAGAGGCAAAGTGGGATAGTAATGTTGGGGGAGAGTCGGCCTTTCTCTTCCTCTGCGTGTTCGTTAATTTCGGATGATGAGGATGTTGGTTATCCAAATACAGGCTGGAGACGATGAACAGTAACTTCTGAGGTTTTATTTTTCTTTTCTGCAGTTTACGAATCGATTCGGGCTCCTGAGAGTTTCAGATTTCGTCAGGAAGCCCAGAAAAAATACAGTCATGAGAATACAATATATGGAGACAATATGATAATGAGAGGCGGGGATTTGCGCCTCCATGCAAATCCCGGAAACAAAGAAGGGTCGATGCAATTCGATCTCGGCATGTTAGGAAAGTCCAGACCCCTCCCGCTGTGCGCAAATCTTGAGACAAGAGTCCCTCCCCTGGGGGAACTTGACGGCCTTCAGAGACTCTCCCGAGGTGGGGGTCAAGGGGCACTAAAAGTGATTGTAATCACAGTAAGCAGGAAATACCTTCAACAGCATTCTACATTCTTTGTTTCAAGTGTTTGAACGGAACCAACAACAGAGAGGGGCAAAAAAAACCACAGGAATAGATTCCTCAACAGTAACCATTGAAATGTATGAACATTGCATCATTTCTGATGAGACGTTTTCATCCTACAGACGTGTTCAAGGAGTCGCCTGTCTGGTTGGAGGTGCAAGAGGATTACATGATGTTGCTGCTGCATAGCTCACCCAGAAAACTCAGTGGGCTTCTCAGCTGTGCATCACCTGTGATGCCATGATCCAGTTCTGACTGTGGGTGAGTATCGCAGTTGTCAGGTACGTCTCATATCATGGAAAACAGGGGAGGCCAAACTTTTCCATCAACCACCCTCCCGCAATCGACCCGTTACTGCGCACGTGTGCATATGCACGCACTTACACACGCATGCCATGATGAGCTATAAGCCATAACGGCCCCTAAGATGTACGAAATAGAACACACAACGAAGGAATAAATAACATAAACAATTTTGAGGCAGTCCAGTGTGGGGGAACGAACTTAACCCTTCCTCATTGATGCCACCTGGCACCGCCTCCTCCTCCAGGGCTTCCTCCTGCGGTGTTGACCTTCTTTTAGTTGCCAGTCACACTTTAAGAGACACTCTATTTATTTAATTTATTTTTTCCTATCGACTTCTGCTGCTCCACAATCTCATTCGCCATGTGTCCTAGCTTCTGCCAACTAACAGAAGTCCATTAATCACCCCGCCCCCCTTTTGCCCATGTTCTATTGTCTTCAAATTTTCATCCCATATGAATGTGGGCGAGCTCAAGTGCTTATTATGCTGCTCCGGAGTCGTTAAATGCTAATTAAGGCGCTGTAAATGCACCAGTCATTTCCTAGCAATTAAAATTTAGCAACATGTTTAAAATGGCTGCGGTGTGAAGTTTATTTTCCATGTGTCCACGCTAGCTTAAACTTCGAGGCTCACAAGTTCAGACATGGCTGACAATGTGTGCGTTTTGTTTCCCCGCAGGTAATGCAGAGCCTCAAAACCAATCCCGGAGATGCCGAAGAGAAGAGATATTCTTGCCATCGTGTTGATCGTGCTACCCTGGACTCTGCTCATCACAGTTTGGCACCAAAGCGCCATCGCGCCGCTCCTCGCAATCCATAAGGGTACGTATTGCGGCCACACTCCACAAGCCATATCGAATCTAAAGTGGCTCCTCCAACCTCACACCGCACTTCATGTTTAGACGGGGAGCCGGCTCATTTAGAGGCTCTCTCTTGCCGTGACCATCGACTTCATTGCGGCTTATCCAGTTGTTGTGGGTTTGTCGCAGAGTGCAAGAGGAGGCTCCCGAGCTTCTATCAATCCCAAACACAAAAGCAACAGGAGAACGTGCAAGAAATGAGTCATAAATGCTACAATACATGTTTCTGTGAAAAACACAAGCCAAAAATATGGTCGACATAACAGAGAAAGAAAATAAGAAAATAATCCAGTCTTCCTATGTTCATGATATAAACCTCTGAAAGTACGCACATGCTACAGTGAAATAAAATACTGTTTTGGCATAATTTCAAAGCTTGTAGGACATATCATAAAAAATCAACAAATATGTTAGACCAACCTAATGTAAGGTTTATGCATTCCCAGTACAATATTAAAAGCCCAGGACTTTTTTTTTTTTGTTCTTGTTGTTTTTGCCCCTCTAAGGGTTAATTCGACAGTCCTATTTGACAAAAAACGAAAAAAAGACGAACCATTATTAATTATTACTTGATTATGAAAATGTAAATTATTTACAGAACATTAGCATTTGAATGTTATGTTTGGTTAATTTCTGAGTTCTCAGGGCAGCCCAGTCAGCCACCTCAAATGTGTGCAAAGAAAGATTCATTCAGTTCCAAATTTCTCATTCCTCTTTAAAATGGTACAAAAGTGCTTGACGGTCTCTGAAACCAATATGTGATGCTTGTTTAGAAATTTGTCAAGCGCCGTGTGGGTAAATATTACCCCAATTACTCAACCAGAAATCTATCACGTTTCATCCATTTGGGTCGAACCATTTCCCACCGACTGACATTCACCACTAATCAATTGCAGGGTTCGTTTCAGCTGCATTTGATGTCATAAATGTTTCCACCAATTAGCTTAATAGAGCCCAAACAACATGCGCTTTTTTTCATACATCATATTCATGAGCCTCCCGATCTTTCTCTGCCGAGCCCGCACAGCAACAGTAGGAAATGTCAAGTAAGCCCTTGGGTAAACAAAGCCAAATTAGATGGACAGCAAATCAATGCGTCTTTGTCCTCGATTCATGATCTCGAAAAAATACATCCAAAAGAGGCCAATACACAAGAACCAATGTAAATCCAGTGACACCAAATGACACTCCAATGCCTTGAAGCGCGCCGGCGAGGAAACGGCGAGGTGTGAAACCAAACCAAAACTCCTCATTTTATTTCATTTAACCTCGACCGCTCACAGGCTTGCTTTTGTGAGCTCTTATAAAGAGGAGCCGGAGGTTTTGGCAGCATACTCGCTGGCAGGCTGTTGTGAACATCTGGCCATCAGCAGATTGTGTTAATTTATGCGTTGCACCCAAAAAAAAAAAAAAAAAAAATCCTCTTTTATGTCTCAAGTGCGAATGGCTCTGATGATGAACTCTTGACGAAGATTGTTTTTAGCCACGGCAAAATGAAAAAAGCATCACTTATCCTCCACGGTTCTATTTCTATATGATGCTATTTTAGAATTGTATTATCGCCACCATTGCCAAATTGTTGAATTTACAGTACCATTTTAGATGCTCCAATGTTAACGTTCATGTCTTGATGAGAGGAGCCGGTCATGATCTCGACAAAATATGGAACATAACACACTTTATACCAACTTATGTTCTACATTCATGTGTAATATGATTTGATCAGGTTGGACCTGTCCATTCTGTGCCACAAGTCAAACGCGAATTAGCTTCATATTTCTATTCGTCATGACAAAGGACTGAAGCAAAAGTGTTTTCGTAGAAATCTTAAGCACAATGCGCAGGCACAGTTTCCTGCTGAAAGAGGGGATGGATATAAATAGGATCAGCCAAAGACAAAATCCTTGCGCTGCTTTGAAATATGATTTCGAGCGAAGGGGCGCCTCAAGCCGGTGAAATTGGCACACGAAGGTCAAAGTAGCGCACGCCTGCTCGTTGGTCCCTTGGCTGTTGCCGAATGAGAACGGCTGTCAGGATCACAGACCGTGACGGTTTGCGGCTCAAGAAGTTGGTCTGGTCCGCTGAGGTGCAACCAAGCACATGGGTGCCCACAGCCTGACCACAACTTGCCTTGTAGACGAGGCTGGGGGGGGAAAAAAAATAAAATTCTTTTTAGCCATTCAAACGCAGCTACTGTATAAAGATACCCATGACCCCAAGAACTGTTTATGTGTAACTCTTTTAAATGTAAAAAATATTTTTAAATAAAAGGGAGCTGTCACTTTAACACACTGGTGTCAAACTCAAGGCCCGGGGGCCAAATCTGGCCCGCCATAATATTTGCTGTGGACGGCGAAAGCCAATCAAATGATGCTTGCTAAAATTTCTTCCAAAAATGTAAAATTCTTAGATGTTCTAAATAAGAGAGATACTGTAGTGTAAGCATTTTTTGTTGCCAAACCCCTCATGACAGGAACTTAAACAATAGTTGAATAAATCGTTTGTTTTTATATGCTTCCAGTCATAACGGCTCTCCAAGGAAAACGGTAACAGAAATGTGACTGGCGCCAAAAAATGAGTTTGACACCCCTCCTTTAACCCCATGCCACTTCAAAATCATTCCACTCCCAAATCACTGCTTCCAATGAAAACCATCCATGTCCAACAATTACGGTTACTACAAATCTTTTATCCAGGTCTTTTTGTTTCATGTTTTGAATTATAAATCATTTCAGAATGCATATTCAAGAACAATTTTAACACGCAATGTTTGTTTGCTATGGTGATAGGAGGATTAAACCAAAACTGCAAAACCAATGTGCATAAATTGCCGTGAGAAATTTACATTTTTTTAGTTATTTATTGACAAAAAATCTGATTTCCCCCTGATTTCCTCACATTTTTTTCTTCTTTGCTGAACTATAACTTGCATCAAGTTTCCTTTTCGCTTGGCTGGTGTGTATGTCTGAAAGTTCGTAACCCTTCCAGCTCTCTTGCACATTCTCAGTTGGAAAGGTCGGGTGGTTGACCTCAGCAAAAATATTTGAAACAGTTTGGAAGCACGTATGAACCTCAGGTCAAAGGTTTTCCAACATGTCGATAAATAACTGCTTTTCGCAATGTATAAATGGGCACCATGACACGTGGGATTGCCTTCCACCAGCCTCCTTTCTTCTTACAAGGAAAACAGACGGATTTCGCTTAGGCTGTATTTTTCTTAATAGTCTCTAGAGGGGTTGGAAAATCCATCCATCCATCCATTTTCCGATCCGTTTATCCTCACAAAGGTTGCAGCGGGTGCTGGAGCCTATCCCAGCTGTCTTCGGGCAGTAGGCGGGGGACACCCTGAACCGGTTGCCAGCCAATCACAGAGCACACAGAGACAAACAACCATTCACACTCACACCTGGGGACAATTTGGAGCGTTCAATCAGCCAGCCATGCTTGTTTTTGGAATGTGGGAGGAAACCGTAGTACCCGGAGAAAACCCACACAGGCCCGGGGAGAACATGCGAACTCCAGAAAAGAAACCCAGAGCTGCTATCGAACACACAACCTCTGCACTGTCAGGTTGACGTGCTAACCACTCGCCCACTGGACCGCCCCGTTTTATTATGTGATACATTTAATTAATTACACCGGGTCAGGGTGTCCCCTACTGCCCGAAGGCACCTGGGATAGGCTCCAGCATGCCCCGTCACCCTTGTGATGATAAAGCGGATCAGAAAATCGATGGATGGATGGGTGGACATAATACAAGATGTTTTTATTGCTTCTTTGACAATGCATAGCATTCACAACAATCATGTGAACCCAAACAGTTGTGACAGCAGCACAGCAGGCGAGTCAGTAGATAAGAGCGGACGTGTTGACACTTCAACGCAAGAGGAGCGAATCCACCATATTTTCCTTCCTGATACGGGAAACTCCAAAGTCGATGTTTGCTTCTTTCTTTCTTTCTTTCCATGCTCAATCTCTTTGTCCGTCAGCTGTGTTGTCCTCTCAGTGCTTGCTTTCACCTTTTGCAGCATGTCACCACCTAGTAAAAGAGATCTTTATCATTCCAGAGAGGCTTGCGGTGCGCCACCGACTCTCAGGTACACTTTACCCACTTTGGGTTTAAGTCACCTGAGGCAAAAGCATGCAAAGGGCGGCCCTCGGTTGCACTCATGCCTTGCACGTCTTTTTGAACCTGCAGGTGGCGGCATTGAGGGCAAGAGGGAGGCAGGAGGCCAGGCAGGAGACTCCAAGGAATACTGCGCCTCAGATAAGGACATAGTGGAGGTGGTGAGGACCGAGTATGTGTACACGCGGCCACCGCCTTGGTCTGACGTGCTGCCCACCATCCACATCATCACGCCCACGTACAGCAGACCAGTGCAAAAGGCCGAGTTGACGCGGCTGGCGAACACCTTCCTCCACATTCCCAACCTGCACTGGATTCTGGTGGAGGATTCCCAAAGGAGGACGCCCCTCGTCACGCGCCTCCTCCGAGAAACGGGCCTCAACTACACCCACCTAAATGTCGAGACGCCCAGGAACTATAAGGTGCGCGGGGACACGGGGGACCCTCGAATCCCCCGCGGGACCATGCAGAGGAATTTGGCACTCCGCTGGTTGAGGGAGACCTTCAATGCAAATAGCACCCAAGCTGGAATTGTATACTTTGCTGACGATGACAACTCTTACAGTCTGGAGCTCTTTGAGGAGGTTAGTGTCCGTTTCTTTGCTCTGCTAGCATCACTTTTTTTTTTTCTCATGTTCTTCTCTGAACGCCATCATGTTAAGCCTTGGTAAAAAGCAACGACAGTAAAAGCAGAAAGTCACTCTTTTGATCCTTGCTTAGTGAGGTTAGGTCAGGACAAATATGGAGCCGGTCAATACTCCTAAGGCTCAATAATTATAGTCATTCTTCAAAGAGGATAAAGAATATGCCTGAGTTATGTCATCATCATGCATGTTTTACTCCACTGTTTTTGCTCAAATATTCATTGCTTAAATGTTTATAACACCATGACATCGATGCTTTTTGCATTGTTTATTAGCGTTACGCTAAACAGACTGAGAACTAAAGCAAAGCAATATGATCGTCTCAACTCAACTGTATCATCTTGAAACGTCTTTTTTTGAAGAATTGCTCACCATCTGCCAAACTGCTCCTTTTTGTGAAATGACTGAGTTCACTGTTGTCATCCAGCGAGTAACACCAAAAAAAAAAAAAAAAAAAAATCATCTAAACGATGACTCTGATCTCAAAAACATCCGAGCCTGGGTTAGTTGTGTATCTCAAAGCAGGTTTTGAGTCTGCTGACATCTGTACTGTGACATCACACAATAGTCTTTCAGCCGACGCTGCTTTGAGGGGCTTTGTGTGAAACAATTTTGATGCCATTCCAAATTGTACAATCTCAAGGGCGTTTGAATTTAAAGGTTATGCTTTTTTTTCATAAGTACACAATGGGTTAAAAGCCCAAAATGCTCCGAAGCCACCCTGCTAAAGAGTGAGGCAGAGGGGCGCATTCATTGATTAGGATGCTGAAAATCATCAGCTCCCAAGCAAGTGTCCTTATTGACCGTTTTGTGTCGCTGAATGTTCATTGATACTCTTGCGCTTTATGGGAAACCAATGGCCGTATAGAGCATCGCTTTGTCGGGAACTGTGATCCATAATGAACAGAAAATTCTCACTCGGGCCAGTCATTATTTTGCTCCTAACAAGCACAAAGAAGATTGCGCCATAATAAGCACACCTACCAGCCCTCCATCTTGACGTCAGCTGAATTCCTCGCGTAAACGTGAGCCACGTCCTTCGGGTATCGGTCCAGAGGGGAATTCTGTGGGGAGCTAAGTGTCAAGTATTGACATGGCCTGTCGTTACCTTTCTCCGGAAATCAGCCAAAGTGCTCAGTCACCTTCCGAAGAGCTCCATCACCTCCAAAAGGCTCTTTTACGCGGCGGTGTAACAGCCCTGAAAGGACAGAGACGACAGAAAGGGAGAGTGGACAATAAAAACAAAAAGAGAGACACAAATCCGACCGCGGTGACTTTTGCTGACGCCAGTGAAAATATGACCGCCGTCCGCGACTTGACAAACTGTGCAAACAAGGTTGAAAGGAGTCTGTGCCGTATGTCCTTTAAAATGAGGACACAATTTCCTAAAGCTGCAACCACAAGCGTTTTAAAATGAATATCACGATCAGGCGAAAATGTATTCCACTCTATTTTATCTCAGCCACTTTAGAAAGGCCGAGTAAATTGCTGTTATTGTCCGAATATCATTGCCTGTCTTTCTAAAGGCATACTTCTCTGGATATGTCTTTCATTAAGACCAAACAAAGAAACTCTGCAAAAATGTTCATTTTCTTTGCAAGTTAGCGAGATACCATCAAAGTGCCTCTTCGACGCCGTTCTCATCCCTTAAGAATGCATGTCAAAATAAACAATTTTAATATTGGACGAAATTAAATAAAATGCAGTTTGATTCGGTGTCATACCCTGTGCTTATATATGTATATACATATAACATATATGACTAAATTCATACACCGATGGCCTTTACCAAGACAATGTCGCCGCAACCGGGTAAAAAAAAAAGGCAGTCTTCAGTTTTTGATGGATTTCAGTTCCTACAGTGGTTTCATAACCCAAATTTGTCTGTCAATGATTTAAACCAAGTCCTACCAGCGTCCTTGAATGACAATTGAGCTTGCATTGAAAATGGCATTGATCTTTCCATCGGAGAGCAACAGTATGGAACGAACGTTCACACTTATTCTCTTCAAATATGATCTCTGCTAATCGTCTCCATTGTGGGCCACCTGTTGAACAATGCGGGTGATGGGCCTTCATCTGACAATGTGTCAGCCGTACAGCGCAAAATGCCCGCGTCAATAGTCAGTCTTTCGTGATGAATAATAGCAGCAGCTCTTAAAAAGCCTCTATCGCCGCGTTTAGTCGCACTGTCATGTCGACTTTTTCACATGACTAATTCACTCCCTCCCGTCACTCTTCTCCCTGCTAGATGAGATCAACTCAGAAAGTGTCCGTGTGGCCCGTAGCCTTTGTGGGCGGCCTGCGCTATGAGTCCCCCAAGGTCAACGCGGCCGGGAAAGTGTACGGCTGGAAAACGGTTTTCGACCCCAATCGGCCCTTTGCCATCGACATGGCCGGCTTCGCCATCAACCTGAGGCTCATCCTCTTCAAGCCGCAGGCGTACTTCAAGCTTCGCGGGGTGAAGGGAGGCTACCAGGAAAGTAGTTTGCTGCGGGAACTTGTCACACTCAACGACCTGGAACCCAAAGCCGACAATTGCACTAAGGTAAGTCAATACTGTTGTTGTTGTTTTTTTTTAATGGTTTGTACTATATTTTATGACTTGCAAGTTGGTATCAGGATTGTTAAATAGAAATGATCTGTTAAAATGATACATGGGGTGTGAAAGTATCTTTACTTTATAATCTACGAAGAATATGTAGACACAAATATGTGTGTGTGTGTATATATATATACATATATATAGATGTGCATATGTGTGTGTCCATCCTTGCTCATGGCCCACGGGAAGCTTACGCTCCAGAAAAGCTCTTTTCAGTCAGCCAGAGGGCTTCATCTTGCCAACAGCCATAAACCAAGCCCATAGAGACAGAAAAAGATAGTGTCAGCCAGCCTGTTCTTGACCTTCCTCAGCCATCCACAGGGGTAAATGAAAGGCAGGCAAATCGGGGAACCGCTGAGAGAGCGTAACGGGAGCTGGAGGAAATAGCGAGGTCAGGACACCGCGCTGATTACAGATGAGGGGGACTGAGAGATGGTGTGGATTTAGATGTGGGAGACAAAAATCGGGTGAAATTGCGCATTGGGCTCCCTTACAAGTGTGACAATTAACCTCGTATATACGTGCGCAAAGTCGAAGTGGGCTCCCGGCATATCTAAACTACGGTATACATAATTCAGTCCACATCACAGCTGGATGACAGGAAAGGAGGTCACTCTATCTCTTAAAAAGCATCCTTGGGGCTGTTGAAAGCAGCAATGTACATTATTATTATTATTTAGAACTGGCAGCACAGTGGTCGACTGGTTAGCATGTCCACCTCACAGTACGGAGGTGCAGGGTTCAGTTCCAGGCCCCGGACTTCCTGTGTGGAGTTTGCATGTTCTCCCCGTGTCTGCGTGGGTTTTCTCCGGGTACTTCGGTTTCCTCCCACATTCCAAAAACATGCGCGGCAGGTGAATGGAACACTCGAAATTGTCCTTTGTGTGTGAATGGCTGTTTGTCTTTGTGTCCCCTCCGATTGGCTGGCAACCGGTTCAGGGTGTCCTCCGCCTACTGCCCGAAGACAGCTGGCTTGTGAGCTTTCGGGGTTTATTTTAAATGATTTTTTTTTTAATTGCCGTATATCCATAACTCCCAAAGAGCCAAAAAAAAGACGATGACAACGGAATTACTCATGTTTTTTTTTTCTTCTGCTTTTCTTTTCATCATCAGATACTTGTTTGGCACACGAGAACAGAGAAGCCCATCCTCGTAAACGAAGGGAAAAAAGGATTCACAGACCCAAATGTGGAGGTTTAACCATTTCTTCCACATCTCCTGCGAAGTAAGACCATAAAACACACCTGAAAACCGCTTACAGACACACTCGCGAGGTTGTTGAATTGATGTCCACAATTTCTTATCGCGTCTTGGTCTTTTCTGTTGTTAGACGTCTGTCATCGGAGTTCTGGACATGCATTGATGAAGATGGCCTTCGAGGTCCATGATATGTGACATTTTCCAAGAAATGGACAAAGCCGTGGCGATGTATTATCGCAAAGCACAGAATGGCGACAGGCGGCTTTTATTTCAGAGGTGTGTGAAAGGGACGTCGTCAAGGACGCCTCGCTGGGCAGCAGTGCGGGTGTCTCGGTGATGACAACCTGCCAATAAGACAGCACAATTTCAACCAAGTCAGGTTCGAGAAGGGGGGTGGTGGTGGTGGTGGTGGTGGTGGTGGTGGTGGGGTACCGGAAAAAAACCGGAAAATGTGACAAATCCTACCAAAAGGAAGGACAATGACATGACACGGACTATGTGTCTTTTGGAGTTGACTCCGAACAAAACACTGGAAGGGATGAAATGTTCTTTTGATAACAATGTAATGTTTGCTTTAATTTAATTGAATTTCTTTCGGTGTTGACAAAACTACTGACCCATACATTGACATTTACTCCTGGTTTACAAGAATGACATGCATTTTATTTTGAATGAACACTTGAAGATTCCGCAGTTGGAAATGTACATTAAAAAAAACAAAACAGAACAAAATGCACTTACTTCCTTAGCACTTAAATACACTGATGGTATTTCTTTGTTATCACTTGTGTAAATAGAAATTCTTAACGGGAGCGATCAGGAAATGTTGAAAATGTGTTGTAACGACTGTATTTATGTTGGTGCATTCCCAAAAAATGAGAGCACAGTCAAGTTTTTTTGGTCAGAAGTGCAGTTTGTGTTGAAAAATCAATGCTGAAAAGCCTATTTTGGTCATTTTTATTGACATCGAGCTTTCCCGCTCCTCAGTGCGCAGCCATCTACGGTATAAACGCACACAAACATGGCTGAAGTCATCATCAATAAATTCTGTGGAATTGTTTCAACACATCTTCAGGCAACTGAGGCAAACCGGAGTTTGCTGTTCATTCACTCTAAAGTCGTTGGACAAGCTGAGCATGAATGCGTTGTGGCACAACTCCAGGCATAATTAATTATTCTCCTCATTACAACATTTGCTTGGAAACCGAAGTTCAGCACCTTCGGAGAGCGCTTCTCAATGAATAAATAAATCAATACGTAATCAAGGACATGTAGTCATTCCGTAGCTAGTGGAACATATGCAAAAAATATATATCTATTTCAAACGTTTTGAGAATTTCAAGCATGTGAAAAGGGTGTTGAGTGCTTGTAAAATGTCGTGCTTGCAACATTCTCCACCAGCGATGGCAATCACTACATTGTCCCTTTTTAAAACAACTTTTTAATTGCCAAAAAAAGTCCGAGCATTTGAGTGTGGCTCAGCCACTGACGTCCACTAAAAAATGTCTATATTTTTTTGTCATGTCACTCCAAAACATCATTTTTATTTATTTTTTTATTAATTACTTACTTATCATGCAGAATCTGACTACATTTGCATATGCTTTGGGGAAAGCATCATTGTAAAATGGTCCAAGCTCTTTCCCTCAAAGGTGTGTATGGTCCAGGTGGACACAAAGCGCGCCTCACTGAGTCTTAAATAGAAGAACAGCTTTCATACGTGGCCTCTATGATTTGAATTTCCAAAACAATGTATCGCGTTCATCCTAAGCGTAGGCGAGAAAAGAGAAATCATTTGTCCGAACGCATCTTTTCAGAGTCTCGCATCCTTCATGATCTCCTTTTATGACGATACGGATGTCATGTGTGAACTCAACTATCGACGCCAGCAGCTGTTATTAAGCCGCTATGGACGGCGATAGTCATATCTGCGTACGTTTTCAACTTGATAAATCAGAGCTTATCTGAACGGCGTCAGGCAGAAGCAATTGGAGATGATTCAGACACTGAGCCTCTGTACGCTGCCAAGTGATATCTAAACACAAGCATCACCCGCAATACAGCGCAGCAAGAGGAGACCGCATAGAAATGGGTCCGGTCTAAATATTACATTGGACTACATCAAGATACTGTCTTAGAAAACGAGCAAATTCATCTTCCTGGCTGCTTTTATTTACTGCAGGATTGTGTAGTGGGTCGACCATTTCGCCTCTTGCAGTTTGATTCGCTGTTTGTTTTTATTCCGTTTTTATTTGTGTATTATATTGAGGTACGGGTGTGCAATAAAAATCATACAACCGTCTGCCCACGATGAAACAGCAGACACGCGTCCTGTAATCCACTAATGGATCGTCACGTGAACAAATACGTAGTCAGCAATAGTAAATGAAAACGATTTTTTTAAGTTTTGAATCGTCCGGAATCCAATTGTGCCGTCAACCAGCAGCTTACGGAAAACCCACTGGCACAGAAGCACGACAGCTTTTTCTATCTGGAATGTCACTTGAGAAGCATTAACAGCCCCTCTCAAGGGCTTCGAAGGCACAAAAGACTCCACTTAAGCCCTCCCTTGGTCCCCTCATCTTCACAGTCATCCTCATGTGAATCACACTTTATGCATGGGACTCTTTAAGGTTGTCCGATTGCCTCTGCGAGTTTGTCTCAAAGGAAGACGGTCATTCAAGAATCAAGAAAAATAAACAAGAACATCAACTTGACTGACTTGACTTTTATGTTCGTTTACGTGTGCTACTAGATTCAGATTTGAAACTGCACTAGGCCTTCGCTCATGTTTCCCTTGCTTCCCAAAGTGGTAGCCCTGAGCTCGAACACACAAGGGAAGATTGACAGAAATTCTGAGGATGCTTTTTTTTGTACTTGGCATGGCCACTTATAGGTCACTCATGGGGCATAATTAATTATTCATGTCCCAAATCACCAATAAAAAGAATATGGATATGCCAATCATGCGCATTTGGCTGTTTAAACCGCAGATCATTCCATCTATCTCTATAGATCTCTCTCTCTCTCTAGATATCTCCATCCCGGCCCGGCAGTCGACTGATTAGTGCGTCGGCTTCACAGTGCAGAGGTCGTGGGTTCGATTCCAGCTCCGGCCTTCCTGTGTGGAGTTTGCACGTTCTCCCCGTGCCTGTGTGGGTTTTCTCTGGGTACTCCGGTTTCCTCCCACATTCCAAAAACATGCATGGCAGGCTGATTGAACACTGAATTGTCCGTAGGCGTGACTGTGAGTGTGCGTGCGGATGGTTGTTCGTCTGTGTGTGCCCAGCGATTGGCTGGCAACCGGTTCAGGGTGTCCCCCGCCTACCCCCCGAAGACAGCTGGGATAGGCTCCAGCACCCCCCGCGACCCTTGTGAGGTTAAAGTGGAACAGAAAATGGATGGATATATATGCCTCCATTAACTGATGTACATATGATCAATATTAATGGCAAATTAACAGCACCTTTTATATCTCTTCCAAAAGTCCAGTAAAATATTTGTCAACTTTTTAATACTCTTCTAAAGATGAAAGTGGAAAAATGTATTTACCTCATGCAAATATTTTATTGAATTCACTGATGGCCCACGGTAATTTTATCGTCCTTCAAATACTTACAGTTTCAAATATAGATTACTATGGAGTTAAAACGAGTGTCTTAGCTTTGTATTGAGCGAAATGTGCATGGAATTATTTTGCTCTTCAAGTTAAGAGTAAAATAATAGAAAGCAGCAATTCAAAGCAATCTCTGCCTTGTCTCTCAGTGTGTGTGCTTGAGGGATCCGTCACATCAGAGGGAGCAGATGTGGAACTGGAGTGCACTCCTCTCCACTGTCTCTTTCTCTCCCAACTTTCTGTCCACACGCAAAGGCTCAAGGTGTGTCTTTGAAAACATGCTCGACACCTGAGAAAATCTCGTTCTTTCAATCCTGCCTCCCGGCCCTCGCGAGGTCAAGGCGCCATATAATGGAAGGTTGCTGTCTTACCGTCTGCTCGCCGCATGCTGGAATACTGACGCGATCTGTCGTGAAGTGAAAGTTACCAGCTCTGCCGAGGTGAACGCGAGGCCAGAGATAGTGGGCGGCCAGGCTGCCTCGCTTGAGTGTCAGCCCACTGAGAAAAGTTGGAGAGGACGCGGTGATGGAGAAGAGGTGATGCAGCGGCGATTACCGACAGGCCCTTCGCACTGTATCCCATGTTCGTCTTTGTTTTTCATGTTTCTTGTGCAAAGCGTGCCTGTTAAGTCCAATTACCCCATGGGGATGAATAAAGTTTTCTGAATCTGAATCTGAATCAGCTTATTGAATTCTTTTACCACACTCTTAAGACAATACAGTGTCAATGTTGATCCATGACATGCATCTTTTTTTTTTTATGACAACAGGAAGCCTTGTGGGCACATTTGGGGAAAATAATGATGTGCTGAATTTGTAAGTTTGCTCACTTAACTTCCAAAGTGTTGTACCTTCTATTGTATAGAGTAAGTATTCAATGTGCAACTTGTGTGACGGTTCGTGTTAAACAACGACATTTGTGAGGTTTGATGGGACTGTGTGATTCCTCATTCATCATAAGTCGTAAGGAGTAAAGAGATAGTTTGTTTTGAAAACAGCAGGTCCGAAATCCTTTGATTTGAATGAAATGAAGATAAGATAAGAAGCCCGTTATTTGTCTCACAATGGCGGAATTCCCAATTTACAGCAGCAAAATTATGAAAGGGGCAAAGCAGAAGACCAAAAGTATATAAATAAATATAAATAAAAATTAAGATGTGTGTTTAACAAGCAGGGGAACCCGACCGTCTCTTGTGTGCTAGATGAACGTGTCTTTAGCGACGCTGCTCACGTAGAGTTTGGTTTGAAAAAAAAAAAAAAAAGCAAAAAAGTCTGACTCGGTCAGAAAAAAACAGCAAGACAAAACACTGCACTCTACATTATTTACGATTCGGAAGCGACTTCCTACTGTGCCCGTTTCATTTGCCTGCGTTATATCAAACTATTCACATTTATAGCCACAGTCCAATAAAGGTCAAGTGAAACACTGTTTATGGACGGCAGGCAATATACACCAAATCCTTTGTGTGTGGTACATTTATCCTACTTTAGAAAAGTGTACATTCTCATCATCCGCAGTAATGCGATGCCTTGGAGGGACCTGCCGACGACTGTGGGAGAACTGAAGGTGTCACTTTTTTGCAACCTTATGGATCTTTGACAGTATTTCACCTCTTAAAATGGACAATCATTTGCACTGTATTCTTCTTAACAGAGCACAGCTTGTTGGTCAGTGATGCAGGTTTAAAAAGCCTAAACAGGTGCAAACTGTGTTGGGACGTCACTAAATTCATTGACAGTTTCGCTTGATTCGTGCATATATCATCCAAATATAAGAGATGTTTT